GTTTCGAACTCCCTTAGAAATAAAAATAATATTTTTTCGTGAACCACCTCATTTCTCTCTCCTCTCCATCGCTACCTCACTCTCTCTATTCTCTTCTCTCCATCGCTGCCTCACTCTCTCCATTTTCTCACCGTCACTGACGAGATCTCCTCTCCTCTCTCTCTCACTAACGTAGGTAAGCCCCTTCTCTTTCTCTCTCTTTCTCCCTCTCTCATCTCATCTCCTCACTCTCTCTCTATATATATACACACAGATCTGTGTATATATATATGTATATATACACAAATCTGTGCACATATATGCATATATGCACAGATCTCTATGTGTTGCGTGTGTGTTCTGTGTGATTGGTGTGTGTGTGTGTGTGTGTTCTGTGTGCTGGGTGTGTGCGCGTTGAGCTCTATATGTGTTGTGTGTTATGTTTGTGATTGAATTGAGATTGAGATTGGGATTGAACTAGCTCATTGCTTTCGAATTTTTAAAGTATTGGGTTACTGTTTATTTCCATTGTATATTTATCTTTTGGGCTATTTATTATTCGAACAATTTCTGATTTCAATGTTACATGGACTATTTAACATGGATTAAATCTATACAAAAAATTGGCAATTTTCGATTGCTTATAAATTGTATGTCAAACCATTGCAGGCAAAGACATAATAATCTTGGAACAATTTTGGGAATTGCACAGGTGAAGGCTTCCTGCATATTATTTCATGATACCTTTTTTTTTTTTGTATATATTTTGGTGATTTAAAAAGCTTCATCAATTGTTTTGGTCATAGATGTGGCCTTTGTATCTTCTCCTAAATAAACTTTTGAAAAGTTTCCTTTAGTGATATTTTGGTTATCTTCTCCTAAATAAATGTGGCTTTGTATCTTCTCCTAAATAATCTGATGTTTTATATGTTGATGACCAAACGAAATAATGGATGAGCTTTTTATCGTTGTCCACGATGGCGTGAGCATGATAATTGTTTCATATGGGTTGATGAGTACAACACAATTACAAATGAATAGCATGTGATTAATCAAGTCTAGTCAAGATGGAGAGAAAAGAAATGGATTACTAATTTCATGCTTGCTTGTTGTGGATGTAATTTGATTTTTATTTGTGCATTATTGTTCATGGTATTTGTATTAATTATTGGTATTTTAGTTAAGTGATATGACTTATTAATGTCTAAACTTAGGGGCTGTATGTTGGACACTATGATGTATGAATGTGATTACTGACTTATGTAATATAACTATCTTTCTTTAGATGTTCTTTGATAAATTAATGGATGTTTTGGTTTAAGGAATGTTTGGATTGTATTTTGATGTAATATAACGTCTATTTGTATTTTATTTAGGTTGTCTAATTTGGGGATTGATTGGGGTAAGGTGCAGGTTAAGGCCTTTTGGGTGAGTTAGATTCCTTATTTAGGTGTTCTCGCAACATCAGCTTGGGCATGTGTATAGGGAGGCAAATTTCATGGCAAATTTTTTTGAAAATTTGGCTGTGCAAGATTGGTACTTTGTTGAATGTTTTTAATTCATGGTAGTAAATCATTTTTCATGAAATAAAGTGGTGATTTGTTTGAAAACAAAAAATGAGGTATTATAAAGCATCTTTAGTATAAAATTTGAGGTAGTTATCAAACATGTTTTATGTTTTTATTTTCATAATTTGATAGACAAAAATAACTAGCAAACATATTTTCTGTTTCTGTGTTTACCACAAAAACAGAGACAAAAAAATGTCTTTGTTTTTTATTTTTTGAAGACACAAAAACAAAAACGTTACCAAACGACCTCTTAATTTTTTAACCCATACCGTAATAAATAATTACCATTTTACCCTTCACAATAAAATTTTAAATTTTCCTAGGTTTTACATTAGGTGTTGTTGGTTCTCATGGTATTGGTTTTGACTCAATATTTTGCAGTGTGGTATATACATAAAGAAAGAGAATTGAAAAAAGGAGTATGTGTATTGTTGTGTTCGTGACTGTGTGATTGGTGTATATTTGTGTAAAACGATAGTGAATTGGAGGTAAAAACACAATAGTTGGTGTGCTACTTTGTGGGTTTTCTAGTTTGTTTGTGAGAGTGTGTTGTGTGTCAATGAAAGAGAAAAAAAGAAAAAAATAGAAAACATAGGAGGAAGAAGTTATGTGTTTGAGTCTAGATTTGTTCATCTTACAAATAATAATGTTTTGATGAGAGTGGCTTAGAATGACCTAACTGCCCTTAATTGAAATCACATGCATTGCACATGACATTTTTTCTGTCCATGATTTGAATGGCAGTTAGTGCGAGGGACCATGTCAGTTCAATGTGCGAACTTTGAGGACCAAAGTGCTATAGGTGATAAATTTCATAGACTATTGGTACAATTTACCCAATGACTAAACATCAACGTTCACTAAATATGTGGATTTTAGTAAAAGTTATCCATGGATTTTATGTGCATATTTCACTATGCAAATGGTTCTAGTGCAACATATGTGTGTATCAACCAGTAAAATAAAAAGTGATCATTTAGATACACTAATTTCAAAATGTAACATTTTAAAAGGAGATAGGGCAAATCATACTTTACACCTTGATATATTTCAAAATTTAGAATTTGCGCATTCAAATAATTGCAATTTAATCCTTATACTTACTTTCAATGTTATTTCTATCAAATACTACTCCACACAACGTATATAACTTTGACGAAAAACAATCAATGGATGTTAGTTGAGGGTTACATGCAACTATTTTATGACTCTGAGAATAATATGAAAAAATTAATCTTTACATGAACAAAATTAAAAATTTTAACATTTTTCAAGGTACAAAATGTAACTCTCCCAAGATATCAAGAACTCATACCAGGCATCCTCGTACATAGCTGGGTTCTGTGTTCTCCTTTGTCATCCTTAAAACTTAGTCGGGCTTAAAAGCTTGGTTTTGGGCCCAACCTATTTTCTGCCCTAGACACAACTATTAGATCCGCTACCCCTTCGTCAGTTTCTTCCCTCTCACGTCATTCTCTCTATCTATCTCACACACATGCACACATCAATGGCTGATACTCCTACTCCACCATCATTGACTAGAACCAGGGGTGACCCAACACAAATTGGGGCAAGTAAGAAATTTTACATGAGATTTCATTTAATATTTTAGGAAGATAATAATTTTTTAATAAGTATTAGGCATTTTATAGAAAGTTGCAGTATGATTTGTTTTTAGGAGTTTTGAGATCGAGCGGGATCAAACAATGAATTGGGTGCAATTGTAAAGTTAGGATGTTACACATTAATAAATTGAACAAAGACTTAAAGTGACAACAAGAAAGTTAAAGATAACGATAAAGAACCAAAGCAAGACAAAAGTGGGAGAGAGAGAAAAAGTTGAACAGAAGTGGTGAGAGTCAAGGAAATAATAGTGAAAAGAATTGAAAAGGATTGTAACTTTTATACCTAGAAGTCCTTATTTTTATATATATTTTTTTAGAAGGATTTATTATATTTTAGAACTTTCTATAAGGTTTACATAGACTTGTGAAATTGTTGCATTTTAGAACTTTTTATAATATTTTAGATAGACTTGTGAAATATATTGGCCCTTTAACTTTGTCCATTCAAAAAGGCCTCATAACATGAAGTTGAACTAAAGACTAAAAATAAAATTGGGGCCATAAAATTTTGGAGCTCTAAAAGACTATTTTAATGGTTGGGCCCTAGGGCCTTGCTGTGGCTCATTCCATCCAAATGATCGTAGTATTTGCGCATCTCGCAACAATTGTTGCCTCTACTCATCCTTCATTGTCAAATCTTTGTCCATGAAACCGATTAAGTAAGACAAATTGATTACTGGATGATACACAATAGTTAAATGTAACATGTGTTATTATTTTATGCATTTTTTTAATTTGTCAAATTATATGTAATACTATCATAATAAATATGTTTAATGTTACAACGTGTTGTCACATATACATACATACATATATATATATATTGTAATTTAGGCATATAAGATATATTAAACATTACATATGTGTTATTTAATACATATGCTATCTGCGTACAATTGTTCAGTAGTATAATTCATAGGAATTGTAAATGTATATAGATCATTCTAACTAAGTACATATTTTTTAGCAAACAAATCTGCACATTTGTTTATCTTTCTTATCTCTTGCTTGACTTGCACTTCTTGGGATACAATATATTGTTTCATTACTGTTTTTATGTTCTTTTTATTTGTTTTGTATGTTGTTCATAAAAATTGCGGTATTACATGATGGACTATCAGTATACATTCGTAATTCCTTGTTATTGAATTATTTTACTATTTTTTTATGATCCTTAAATTGTTTATGTATGCAATGTTTACCTACTAATAGTGTTTTATTTTTCCTGATAATAAATTTATTGAATTTTATTTTGATATTAATTACTTTTATTGTGGATCCTCTATGAAAATAAACAATTTAATTAGTTAGTGTTCTTGTATTTAAATGGGATCCAAATCAAGTTTGAGAAAAATAGAAAATGTGTTTGATTTATTTTTATTTATAGAAGAAATATACTTATTATATTTTTTTATCCAAGTGTTAACCCTTTTTCTCTACCATTTAAAATGTGTATGTGACTACACTTTTCAACTTAAATTTAAATTTTATTTAATTAACTTAATCTTTCCGAGTAGGGTGTTCAAATTTTCCAATACCCGACCAATTTCGATCCTACCTAACCTAATTGATCGGCTTCCGTAAAATTGGGTCGACTAATGAAATTTTTTTTGGTTTTTTTGAATAAAATTGCCAAATAACGTCAAAATTTTTACATTCCTTCCCAATCTGATTGGACCAACATGTAAAATTTTTTTAAAAAATATATACATGTTAATTTGTGCACAAAAATCCTAAAATTTCTAGCGCATCCTCCAAGTCTCAGAGTCTCCCCTATTCTTCTTCTGAGTCGATTGATCCCTAGCGCCCCCTCCTCTTCGAGTCTCAGAGACTCTCGCCTCTTTCTTCTTCTTCTCGGTCGATTGATACCTAGCGCCTCCTTCTCGTCGAGTCTCAGAGACTCTCGCCTCTCTCGCCGCCTTCTCTTCGAAGCCACAAGCCACACGCATCCCAGGTTCTCTCTCTCTCGCCCTCTCTTTTTCCGTATGATAGTCTATGTGTGAGTCTTAATTCCTTTTGTTTTTCTGAAATTGAAATTATATGATAAGAGTTGCATGTTAAGCTAATGATAATGAGTTTTAACAATAATCATTGATCTATATCTCATTATTGAACTCTAAAATTTGTGGCCTTTTCAATATGTAGGGCTTAAAGCTCATACTCTTTTGAATATACCATTGAGCCGGCCATGACCAGAACCTCCAAGGTTACCCGAGACAGAATAGAAAAAGCAGTGAATGCTCTTCTCAAATGGAAATCCTCCCAATCCGAGACCCGAAAGCCCCAACTCATCCCGCAAGACGACTACATCTACCTCAACCTAACACTCAAGAAAATCCCACAAAAGCCGCGCACAAACCCTTACAAAATCCCCCTGTTACACCCACTTCAGCTACACTCTTCCGAAATTTGCCTTATTATTGATGACGGACCCAAGTTCAAACTCTCCTCAGACATCGCCAAGAAAATCATCAAAACCCAGAACTTACCCATATCCAAAGTCATCAAGCTCTCTAAGCTCAAGTCAGACTACAAGCCTTTTGAGTCAAAAAGAAAGTTATGCGACTCATACGATGTGTTTTTTGTGGACAAAAGGGTTGTCCCTTTGCTTCCTAAGCTGTTGGGGAAGGAGTTTTTTAAGAAAAAGAAGTTGCCTTTGCCAGTGGATTTGACTCACAAGAATTGGAAGGAACAAATTGAGAGGGTTTTATCATCTGGGTTGTTGCATTTGAGGACGGGAACAAGTAATGTGGTGAAAGTTGGAAAGGCTTCTATGGAGACTGGAGAAATAGTTGATAATGTGGCAGCGGCGGTAGCTGGTGTTGTTGAGGTTCTCCCCAAGAAGTGGGTTGATGTGAGGTCGCTGCATTTGAAGTTATCGGATTCCTTGGCATTGCCATTGTATCAGGCGTTGCCAGATATGAAGTTGAAGATTGAGGGGATTAAGAAGAGCGAGGAGAGGGTTAAGGAAGAGGGTGGCGTTGACTTGGAGGTGAAGGAGAAGAGGAAGAGAGATGGGGAATTGAGGAAGAATAAGGGCATGAAAAAGGGAAGGATTCATGAGGTTTGCTATATGGATGTTAATAGATTGGGAGGTGATGTGGACGGGGATGGGAATGAGAGTGAGAAAAGTGTGGATGCTGAATTGGGTAGTGGTGAATTTGTGGGAAAAAAGAAAAAGAATGGTGGTGCAAGTAAGGAAAAGATTCTAAATGAGTTGGATGGGCAGAAACTGGGGAAGAAATTGGGCAAGGTGAAGGCTGGCAGTGATGATGATGATGATGTGGGTGAGAAGAGTGAAAATGGTAAACTGTGCATTGCTGCATCTGGGGTTAAGAAGAGAAAGAAGGGAGATACCATGAGGGGAATTATAGGCGAGATGAATGGAGGCAATAGGGTAAAGAAACTAGGCAAGGTAGTCAAGGGAGGTAGTCTGAAGCTAGGGAAAGATGAGTTGGCTTTAAAAGGTGTAGAAGAGTCTGGTGAGAAGAGAGGGAAGAAAAAGATTGAACCTGTCATAAAGACAAAGGATGGGGCAAGCAAGAAGGTCAAGGATAATAAAAGTAAGAAGAGGTTGGCGGTGGAATGATTCAGGTTGCACTTTGATTTCCAGTTGATTGTGGCGTGCTCAAGGTCTTCCAGAAGAGGCATTGCATGGGATTTCTGCTTTCTGGACTTGCAGGTATGGTAATGCATTTAGAGTTCTTCAGCAGATTTCAACTGGTTCAATTGTTGTTGATTTTTGTTTATTTACAGAAAGTTAATTGATATTTAGGATTTGAGCTTTCTAGCTTTAGCTTCCTTTTTTACTTTTATGGTGGATTGAACTCCTATAATTCAATGTCTTCCTTTCCTTGTTATCTTCAATTTATCCCAAGAGGAAAGTTTTGGTTTTCATCACTGGATTCTTGATAAAAAAAATATGAATATCCTGTTTTATAAACATAGTTCGGGCAACTGTTGATTATCACTAGTAAAGACAGTTGTTGTATGCTAAGATAATATTGTAATGCATATTAAACTGTTATCCACTCTCTCATGTAGCATTTGTGATATCAATATCCTATTTTTCAGTGAGAAAGATAACAGTGGAAGCAGTTCCTTTAAATTTATTACAGTCATGGTATATGGTTAAGTGAGTCACGGTCTGCACTCTTCTATTGCCATTTGCCATTTGCCATAGTGCACACTTTGTTAGAAAAGTATCAATAGGGTTGACAAGTCCAACATTTTATCTCAGCTCTAGCTTCAGTTTTAGTGCTGGACATGCCTTGTGTACCTATTGACGCATAAGAATGATTAGAATGGCTCTTAGCAGGGTACCCTCTGTGACTTCTCATCGTATTAGCAATTGAAATATAATCGAAAGAAAAAATTTCTATTTGATAGGGTTTTTTCCTATATCTATGAAATTGGAAGAATCCGTTAGGTCTTCCAATATCAATAGGTTGATTGTTTCGCTCTTGTATCTTCCAAAAGGAAAAAATATATCTGAGAGTTGTTTTCTGAATCCAAAAGACTTTCCTTAAGTTCATAAATTGGAGAACAATCCTTTGCTTGTAGTTGAAAGGAAGAAAGTGATGCAACATGTCTCGCTTCATTCCTCCCTAAGTTTGGAATTCACCCATTACAATACTTCAAAATATTGCTTGCTCATTAATCCACCATAAACATACAATTCCTTAATGCAAGCTTCGCAAATATAGGGTTTTTGTATCTCATTCATTTAATACCATCTTAAATTACTCTCCACAATGTATCCAGTCAAGAAACACATTTATTTGAGTATGTCCACAAAGTCGGACACATTTAACTTAACTCATGTGCTGAATCCTCATGCATTGTTTCTCAAAAATTGAGGTTGAACGATGTTGTTGCAATTGGAGATATGGTTGAATGTTTTCCACTGGCTGCAACTTGATGTGTTAAACGAATAGCCAACTAAATCGGATATCCAATTGATAGCAAAGATGTTGGTTCAGTGTTGATATTGAATTAATTACTTCTTATTAGGCCATGTTTTTCAATTTGACAGTGAGAGTGGATCGAATTTTTTGTTTAATTAATTATTAGAATTAATAGAGATATAGAAAACGGTTGGTTTATAAGCTAGGCTTTGGCAAAGGTTGTTGCCTCTTTCAATTGTACTATACAAATTCTCACTTGTGAAGTGATTTGCTCTCTTATCTTGAGGCGTGGTGTCCCCAGAGCATTAAGATTATCTAGTTCAGAAATGGTGAATGGAAATTGTGTGGTGTTGGTGGCTAGCTAATTGGTTGATCCTTAAGCATCCTAAACTTTAAATTATGTTGTTGATAGAAGATATCTTATTAAAAGATCATGTATTTTGTGTGCATCGAGTGGTTGGTTTATTGTTTACCTATAGAATTAGTTGTCTTGGTCAGGGGTCTTGATTGATCTTCTAGCGTAAACCCTTTGCTTCCTTTATGCAACACTTAGTTTAATCTCTTGTTTTGTTAATGATTATGTCAACATTTTATTTAATATTATTTTTTTGATAGGAAACAAAACTTTTGTTTTATTGAAAGATGGAAAAGCAAGTAAATGGTGGAAAAATACAGAAACTAAAATAAACAAAAGAGACTTTCAACTATTATTAGCTTTCCAATTATGTTGGAAAGTGATAGAGGAGTGTCATGAAACATATTTAAAGTCATGGCCTAAAACGATGCTAAATACTCCACGCAATTGCATAACAACTTCATAATATACAAGTTTTGAAATGTGAGGTGTAATGAATGTCAATTTTGAAAACAAATCCCTCCTTACATCTATCTCTATATTACAACCTCATTTGCTACAAGAGCCACATTTAGAATTTGCATGTCCTTAATAAAAGTCCCTTGACACTCATAAGTAGTATTACTAAGGGGCTGTTTGATAACGTCACTTGAGGTTTAAAATTGAATACTTTAAACACTTAATAAATTAAACCCGTTTGATAACCTAAAAGTCATACTACTTAATATTTTAAGCACTTCTTAAAAATTGGCTAAAATTTTAAGTAGCAATCTACCTATTTATCACTTAATGCTAAAAATGTTAGTAAGTAAGAATTTTATCAATTTCTCATAATGGACAAGTATACCCTCGCTATCATTGTGTCATCGCCATCACCATCAACACTATCACCACCAGTAGTAGCACCACCATCATCGCCACCACCGCTGCCACTACCACCAACATTGTGCCACCGTCACCACCACCATCGTTGCCGTCACTACTACTATTGTGCCTTTGTCACCACCATCGTTGCCGTCACTACTACTATTGTGCCTTTGTCACCACCACCATTGTCACCATCATTACCACCACCGTCATTATCATTGTGTCATCATCACCACCACCACTACCATTATGTGATCCACATTGCCACCATTGTGCCACCATTACCACCACCACCAACATCACCATCGTTGTCGCCACCACTACTATTGTGCCACCGCTACTATCATTACCACTATTGTCGCCACCACCACCATTATGTCACCACCACCATTGCCACCACCACCATTATGTACCCACCATTGCCACAGCTGTTGTCACCACCACTATCAATGGTCACCACCACTATCAACGGTCACTGCCATTGTATTGGTGGTGATAGGAATAAGACAGTTGCAGAGAGATGGTTAAAGAGAAGTACAAAATTAAAATAATAATAATTTTTAGACTTCAGCTCTTTATATTTGTCAAACATTTTGATTAAATTAAATACTTAAATTTTAGTTGATAACAAACAGTCTGCGAATTAAAAAATTTAACATTCCACACTTAAAATTCAATATTTAGTTTTCAATGTTCAGCTTTCAGTTTTATCAAACACCACTTAAATGACTCTCTTAAGTCTTAACCTTAATGACAAGGCTTTTACAATGATTTTGTAGAGTTTAGACAACAAACTAATTGACCTAAAATTCCTCATTTTTATGGACTTATCTTTCTTGGGTATTAACCAAATGAAAGAAGAATTGGTAATTGAATTGACCATGCCATTTTGGAAAAATTCTCTAAAAACTTTCATTAAATCCTCTTTAACTATTTGTCAACAATCCTGATAAATAGTTAAAGTAAAACCATCTGGTCCAGTAGTTGTATCACGACCACACTCAAAAACAACATTCCTCCTTAAATGGCCTCTCCAACCCATGGTTCAAATTATCCGCGACCACCTAGTGTTATTTAAGGTGTAAAGCGAACTAGTCTCTTGAGGGCCTAGGCGAGAAGCGAAGCGCGCCCTTGACCGAAATAAAGCAAACAATATAAAAAATAAGCAAATATTTTAGTTTGATATTTGGATTACTCCTAGATATTCAAGTTTTAACTTTGCAAATACAAAGTATTTAAATGCAACCAAAATAATAAACATCTACATATTTTAAATACACAATATATTAAATATTGAATATTATTGCATTCTAAAAATAATTGATATAATCACGTTATCTAAATGGAAAGATAGCAAATATGGGTTTGAATCCTACTGTGATTGATTAATATTACCACTCAACAGAGTACTCATAAATTGATTAATCAAATAGAGCATATAACAAATTGATTAATTAATTTTATTAACTAAGCAAATTGATTAACAAAAGTATTCACCACAAAGTAGAGCATTCAACATCATCTAATCATAACAAAGACAGATTGCCCTATGATATTGTCAAATGAATGAATCAATTTATTTTATATATTTATACATATAACATCATCTCTACTAAAGTTTAGTTGATGTTAAGGAAGGAGGAGGAGGAGGAGGAGGAGGAGGAGGNGTGATAGGAATAAGACAGTTGCAGAGAGATGGTTAAAGAGAAGTACAAAATTAAAATAATAATAATTTTTAGACTTCAGCTCTTTATATTTGTCAAACATTTTGATTAAATTAAATACTTAAATTTTAGTTGATAACAAACAGTCTGCGAATTAAAAAATTTAACATTCCACACTTAAAATTCAATATTTAGTTTTCAATGTTCAGCTTTCAGTTTTATCAAACACCACTTAAATGACTCTCTTAAGTCTTAACCTTAATGACAAGGCTTTTACAATGATTTTGTAGAGTTTAGACAACAAACTAATTGACCTAAAATTCCTCATTTTTATGGACTTATCTTTCTTGGGTATTAACCAAATGAAAGAAGAATTGGTAATTGAATTGACCATGCCATTTTGGAAAAATTCTCTAAAAACTTTCATTAAATCCTCTTTAACTATTTGTCAACAATCCTGATAAATAGTTAAAGTAAAACCATCTGGTCCAGTAGTTGTATCACGACCACACTCAAAAACAACATTCCTCCTTAAATGGCCTCTCCAACCCATGGTTCAAATTATCCGCGACCACCTAGTGTTATTTAAGGTGTAAAGCGAACTAGTCTCTTGAGGGCCTAGGCGAGAAGCGAAGCGCGCCCTTGACCGAAATAAAGCAAACAATATAAAAAATAAGCAAATATTTTAGTTTGATATTTGGATTACTCCTAGATATTCAAGTTTTAACTTTGCAAATACAAAGTATTTAAATGCAACCAAAATAATAAACATCTACATATTTTAAATACACAATATATTAAATATTGAATATTATTGCATTCTAAAAATAATTGATATAATC